CCCAGAGTCGCGGTCAAAATTATTCGCCATGGAGGGGTAGAGTCATTTCATTAATGTGCATGTGCAAAGGGTACTCTTCTCCCTGGACCCCTCCTGGAGCACTCAAGTTGAAAAGAGAAAAATGATGAATTCTGTGTGGCAGTGTTTCATCATTCTTGTTTTTATCTGGGCACTTTACGCCCCTCCTCAGCATACAGTTTATACACTTGTGAAAATGACAGAAATATAATGGATAACCCCTCATATTCCTGGGGGAAATGTTAGCAAAATTCGAAGCCCAAATTTCATTCTACATTCAACAGATCAGGAAGAGCTCTTCCATGAAGCAGGGTTTGATGCCTACTTAGCCGGTTATGGTAAGTGAAGTTATCACTTCTCAGTAATGGCCACTTAACCTTGCACTGAGCCTCTTCATCAAAGTCGCTGTTTATTTTTCACCCTCTAGTCTTCCTGAAAATGGCTCACTACATAAAAGCCAAGGATACAAGGTAAGGTCCAACAGTTTATTCATCATTCCAGAGTACTCACAAATAGTGCTTTGCATCCATCTCTTTTCCTTCCAGAAAAAATGTGCTGTAATCTTCCATTTTTAAAGCTGCATATATTCCATTAGTAACTGTCCCCATAGCTTATTGTACCCCTTGCTGTTCAGTTCGCATGGTAAGCTCAGCTGGTTTGTCTCTGTGCAAAGGCACTTCGTTCCTTGTCAAGAGATCTTTTGAAAAAGGAAGCACTTGTCTGCATAGAATAAATACCAACTTCAAAAGGGCAGGTTACTGAAAAAAAGGTTAAAAGTAATTGCACCACAGCTTGTGCTGCCGAACGTGTTGAGCAAAAGGGCTAATTGAAAGTGCAAGCGTGTTTCCTCCTTTTAGACTTTTCTTTTTTCCTGTTGACTTTCCCTAATAATGATGTTTTTTTATCCTTTGTGGTAGTATCCTAGTTTAATTAATCTTTGTATGGCAAAGAATGTGTAAAGATATCCTAGTAATAATGTTAGACTTTGATATACTTGGTGATATTTTATTGCTGTGTTGTCCTGTGCTACATACAGGGGTGTGAGAATTCAGCTTTTTAGCTGACTTCAGCTTTTTTGTTTGGATGTTGACCTTGAATTTCAGCTTTTTTGTACACCTGGTGTGCACAAAAGTATCGGAACTTTTTACATTTTATCTTTTTTCTAGCTGTTTTTAGCTTTAATTTTAAGTGACCACTCACACCTCTGTACATAGATTGTTCAAGATTTTTGGTTTAGGACTTTGGGCCATTTTCATGAACCCTCTGAAAGGAAATCCTTTACTTTCAGAAATTGGCTCTCAGTTGACCAAAGCCCGACTTAATATTCGATAATCTACTTGTGGTTGGATTATTCAAGCAACCAAATATTGCTTGCATTTCCTGTATCATACCACCGTCTTGACCCTCAGTATGGTCTGTGATCTTTCTCTCTAGTATCATGCATCCAAAGCTGTTAACTTTCAGGAAGTACATCCCAGCTCTGGCCCCTTATGAGAATAAAACCAACGTCATCAGAGGCAGCATACCGTATGTGGTAAGACTAGGCAAACTGCTTTACTCTTGTTATTATTTTGACTTGTCATATTGCCCTTGACTGGATTCTCACCCGAGTCTTAATTTCGTGGAACTACTCACGGAAGAGAATTGCTGTGCTCCAGACTCTATCCACCACGTGTGTCCGGCCATCAAATACTCCAACATGACCCAGATATTCACAGGCTTGTCTTCAGTTCCCCATGTGTTGCTTCTGGACTCTTTTAGATTGATGAAGACACGGTGAGCTGGCTATGCAGTGATCACATTGTGTGGCATTGTACTTTGGGCTTTACACGAGCATGAATAAATAAGAGGCTTGTGAGATGACATGGAAATCAATGTCTTGTTTGTTCTTTCATTGTGTTGTCTTTGCCTTCCTGCTTTTCATTGAACGGAACAAAATGTAAGAAAAAAAAAACTGTAACTCATTCTTTGAAAAAAGGAAGATTTGTCTTGAGTGGGTAGAAAGCTGTGTGTGAAAGTTGTGGTTGTGGCTTGAATTCACATGTGCACCTATCACAGTCACTGCCTTGCGGCTTCAGCCACTTCCCATAGCTGTGTGCATTACTTCATGCCACAGCCAATGGATAGGACACAGCCTTAAGTTTTCGACACGGTTTCCTTGCAGAATATTGCCGGGGAGGATCCAGCCTCCAGGCGGCCTAAACTACTCTATGTCACCTCCAGAGGGCCTTCCCCACTGCAGGCCAAGGAGGTAAGGCCATGTCTGAAACAGGCTTTTGGAGCTCTAGAGTACCGACGTGTGACATCCCTGTGAATCGGGTGTCTAGTGCAAACAAAAGGAGTACTCACGCGTGTTGGTTTACACGCTGGTTCTCGCGCTAATGCCTTTCACACACATACTTGTACGTGTGACATATCCACGTCAGCACTCTTATTGCTTATTATTAAGTCAATGTATCCCTGCATATTTCCAGTAAGTGCAGATCTAGACTTGGCTTTAGATGTCAAATCCGTCTGTCGTATTCTTCCTATGAAGATGGAGTCACTATTGTTGAATCGAGGCACCGTTTTGTACAATACAGTGGGCCTGTTTTCTTTATTGTTAGTTTACATGATGTGCAGTTGGGTATTGCATATTTTGGCATTTCTGTGGATCAAGGAGTCATCTAAATTGAAAATCTGCCAGATGGAGGGCTTTAAAGTTTCAAAAAATCGCTCGTTGTTTTTAATTTGCTGGTAGGAGCATACATACTAATATTGTCAAGTTTTCAAGTTAAAAATGAAGTGGTGGTCTCATTTCGACATTGATTGAATAACTTGTCTTGATTCTCATGATTTCTAATTTTGTTCTCCAGCTGGCAACCTTGTTTAATACCTACACTTCAGTAGATGTGAAGATGATTGACAAGCGGCATGCCCTGCTGGCAACATCAAATTACGGAGGGTAAGACGTCATAGCTATGTTATTTAGATCTTTTCCTATTGCAGTTTTACTGGCATTCTGTAACACTGAAGTGGTACACCACACTATGTGTATGTGGTTTGGGACGAGTACAGTGGAGCTGTGGAAAGAGGAAAAAGGTAGAGTGAAATACGGATGAATTGTACTCTTATAAGGTCCACAGAGATGGGAATATACCTTCCCAAATATTGTTCACAGAAACGTCAAGGATCAGTTAGTTGTACAGCAGGGCCCAGTGTCAATGTCAAGTTTCAATTCCTTGTGTAACAGAGGCTGTGTTCGCTTTGATTCAGCTATTAACCCCTTCGCGCCGGGACGCGGGTAGAGCCGCCGTAAAAATTAAGATCCTCAGCCCGCTTTTCAGCTATTATTCTCTGCCCACGGTCAAGCGAACACAGTGAAAGAAGGCAGACCCTGGCTCTTGTATATATGGTGATTGGCCTTTGTGTGTAGCCCAGAAATGAAAAGACCGAATTTGCATCATAATCACCAGCTTCACAATAGTCCCCACTCTGAAAAGAGGCAACGAGAATGTGGAAGCGTGAGTAGAGCCGTATGCCACCGAACAATTAGCCTTTTCACTGTGTAATTCAAAGCGTGCAGAGCACGCAGGGCCACAAACCGAGAATTTGCTGTTTGGCAGATGGCCTTTGTGGCCAAGCAAAGCTGGAATTCTTGGAGTCGGCTTTCGGGAAGAAATTCCAGTCGTCAAGGGGTTAAGTAGCAACATGAATATGCAAAATTGTTTCTGCCAATGCTGAGGAGAATCCTGTCGTACAATCACTATGCACCTGGATTTGTGGGTAAATTGTGAGGAAATTAACTTGCTAGAGAAGCTTAAACACATTTCAAGGCCAAGTTTTGTAAATAGAGGGGTGTGTGTACACTTCCTGTGCAGCGTTACCAGCCAAGGCAAGGTTTAAGTCGTAGGGACGTCATGTCAGGATATCTCCTGGACACCATGTAAGCTATTTTGGCTTCATCATTTCATGTACAACTATATGAAACATAAACCTCTGTCACGTGGACCACCTAGGTATTATCAATTCTAGAAAAATGTTGACACCCAATGTTTCAACTGCTGACTTAATCCAGTATTTCGAACAAATTCTCTCTCCGAAGTCAGTGTGCCCTTTGCTGAGGCTATTACTGTTCACGGCATCTATGAAAGGAAAGGAGGCTTTGCTAGCATTTTGTATCCAATTAATTAACATTTTTTCCATTATCTGCAGGAGTAAAGACATTATGAGGGCATTCAAGAATGATAAAACTATCCACTTAGCATACTACAATGTTTTCCAGCATTCCAAACCTGTACGCTATGGACTTTGGTGAGTTAGGATATTTCATCAGTCAGAGAATTTTAGTTCCACGTTCTTAAATAACACTGTGATATCTTCTGGCACTGTAATTTATAATGAGCAATCAATGTGTTAACTGCATGGCCTTATGATCGGCTGTTCGTGGATAGATCATGTCTCAGTCCAAGTCCTTATTTGGGCATTCATTACACCAAAACCTTTTTTGTTCATTCGAGAAACTGTTTCATGGTCAACCTCATCCGTGACTTTAAAAACACTGGGTACTAATTCTTATTTAAAAATGCCTTCAAACGAGTGCAAGCCAACGTTTCTGTTTTTTTCAGGGGTGCTGTGGCAGTCATGGGAGCTATCAGCCTATGGGTGCTGCTAGGAGACCAATCCAAGAGGCAGTGAACCCTGACTCACAGTGGAACCAAACCCCTGCTGCAGGATAGATAAAGGTAAGATGGATAAGATACAGGGGCTGTTTGTTGCACACGGATCTGGGTCTCAATCGTTGGTCCCCAAGCTTGTTCGCTGCATCCAGTAGCCTGGTTCTGGTGTAATTGAACTAACGTCAGATCACTGATTGAAGCAAACAGGTCCTCAGTGTATGGGGTAGCACGGCATATTCTGGGGGGGGGGGGTGGAGAGAACTACAGTAATTCCTTTGAGGGACTGACGGATTTTCCAACTTCTTGATCTAAGCAGTTACAGCCAAGAAAGCCTGAAGATTTGGGATGAAAAACAACCAACAAAGTTAGAGCAGATACTAGGTCTGAGAGACCAACTCTTGGCGAGTCATTGAACGTTTTGAGACATTTTAGGCAAAACTTGGGAGAATTCACTTTGAAAGAACTTCTTGGGGAGGTTGTTAGCTCTATTTCTTTCGGAGGCACGACTTAAAACAGTCCTCAAGCCTCTTCCACAAGACCACAGCTGCTCAAACACTGTTGCGGCCAAAGCACAGATGTTACCATTGCCAAAAAGGTGTCAAAATAAGATGGGTCACTAATTTTATCATGGCAAAACATTCCCAGGTTTTTGAACTCTCATTAGGAAAAATGTGTTAGAATTGAGAGTTTCTGTAAGGACTATCGAGACTCAAGTTTTAATTGGCTCTTGATGTGGCTTCTCCATGTCATCTAAAAAAAACATTAATCTGGTTTGGGAACATGCCTAACTCTGTTGTGGGGATGATCTTTTTTAAAATCTATCCACTTAAAAAGAAATTTCACAATTTTAAAGACCCGTCGTGCTTTGGTGCAATGTTGCTCTGCCAACATGAATCATTTTAATTTACAAACACAATAAAAAATTTTAAATTAGTTAAACAAACAAAAATGCAGCAAATTCATGAAGAACATTTGGCATTGTAACACTAAAAACTTAAAAATTACTGGCATTGTGAATCAGTGAGCAAACGTATCATCAAACTTAACCTATAGTGGCAATAAATGTGTGGATTTGACGTTCTTCGTTTAAAACAGTGGATTTTCCAATAGTGTGAAGTTCCTTGACAATGATATATAATGTGCAGTAGCAGCAGTATTTTTAAATGATTTCTTTTTACAATTTCTTTCAAATGTTAGATTTGACGACCTTGAAATTCAAAAGGGACCTCATGAAGGGGCTCATTTTCAGGATGGGGACATTCAATGAGTACAGTTCAGTCATAGTTTCAGACAATACTCTTCTGTCTCCAAATTCCTTCAAATTTCTGTCAGTGTCTAAATCTAAATAATGTATTTGCAAAGAGCATTCACACTATGTTAATATTGCAAAATTTATCGGCAGACTTACTGTACCTCAAAATAAACCGTCATGATTAGAAAGGTCTCTGTACACACAACTTAAATATTCGGGTTTATCCTAAGCAGTTTTTCTACGTATAAAAGCGATTTAAAAGAATGATCACATTTCCCAAATGGGTCATTCTATTAATTTGGGGTCCATTTTTGTCCCGTCCCTGTTACGTCTGGCATTTGATCTTTAATGTTTAGAACTTGTTTAATTCCCAAGACTGAATAAGTACTGAAAATTATCTGCCAAACAAATAAAAATAGTTTGAAATTAACGTCAGTGATACACCCATTGTCAATTTTGTCAGATGGTATACATGTCAGAGGTAACAGGGACGGAAAAATGTCACACTTTGGACCCCAAATTCATAGAACGACCCATATTTAAATGATAATCTAAAAAGCACACATACAGGAACAAAGAAGTAAAACCTGGCCTAAAAATGGTTTCAAAGCAGGTGATGAAAGAAACGCATTTAGTGTTGCAAGGCTACCACCTTGTCTAAAAAAAAACGAACAGAACAACTAATCCACCCCACCAACAAAATTCCTGTTCGGTCACTGAATTAACCCTAACCCTGGCCAGATGGTAGCATAATACAACAGGTGTGGATGTCTGGTGCACTTTGTTGTACCATGGAGCTATAAAAAACAAACTGGCCATGTTAGGCCCATTGAACAATGCCACTGTTGGATCTTGTGTTGACTGGCAACCACTGACTCCCAGGCTGTTTGGCAGTGAGGAGAGTTGACCTGTTGGATCTTGTTAAACTGGCCAGGCAAGCCACTTTGACAAATGATGCAGACTGATGTGTCTAGCCAAAGGTTTCTAGCCAAAGTACCCTGGAGGGTTAGGGTTAAACTAAATAGCTTAGGAGCCAATTTAGATGGCTCTGAGTCACTACATGGTACTGTGTATGCATATTGTACATTGCATGAAAGCATTTCTCTTTTTTGACAGGTGGCAGCAGGGCACTGAGTGCATTTCTACAATGAAAACAATTTTAAACAAGAACTTAGATGCAAAGGCAACCAAAAAAGTCATGTCACAAAGCCCATGTACAAAGCCCATGGGATTTGGGAGAACAAGAAAAAGAAAAAACACTTCACAAAAACAATTGCGTTTCCACCAGGTCTGATGAAAACCACAAAGTTGCCCTTGTACCAAATCATTAGAATACACCAGAAAAAGTTCACAATCCCATAGTCCACTTTAAAAATTCATAAGTGTGTTGTGCTTTTATATTTTTTTTTCACACTACTTAGTCATGTTAATTTCCACTCATTTTATTTTCAGTCCAGCTCCTTATTCTAATTTTCATTTACGTCAATACCTATTCAGTGTTTTGCCAAATGAAATTCTTAGCATTTCATTGATTTTCAGTAATCAAGCACTTTCACTAGCATAACACACAACAGGTGGCTAGCTTATACAGCCCTTATTTTCAAACAGGCCAAGGGCTTCCTTTGAAATGTTTGAAGTGTTGACTAGGGGGGTAACAGTAAGGACCTCAGTGAATTGAATATTACAAGGGTGGACTTCACATGAAGCATTGCAGTCTAGTCATTTGCAAGCAGGTTCATTAGCTGAATCACATCCGATTGTAACTACCAAAGCAACGAGAGTTGAACAGTCAGTTCAGTTTGGAGCAGCTTGTGACTGGAGGTCATATAGCTTTCAATGTCTTGTTGATGACTACATCCCAACATTGCGACAGCGTCGGCTCAGCCCTTAGAGTGATTTCTTGTGCTTCTTTTTCTGCATGGCTTGAAACTTGGAGAGCACCACCTTGGAAGTGGTGGTAAAGTTGCCCAGAAAGAGGATGAAGAAGATCATTGCCGAAGCTGGAACCTTGAAACAGACAAATGCACAGAATTATTTCTCCCCGAGTTACAAAAAGGGGAAAGTACTTAAGCTGATGATATTTCCACAAATATCATTTAAAGAGAACCAGAGGTGAATGTAACACAGAATTTTTATGTATTTGGTTGATTAACATGAATTCACTCTATATATGTCACATTGCTAGATATTTTGTCGCATTCTACGAAGGCCACAAAATCAACTGTGTTCTTTTTGATACTTAAAGTGTACAGGGCCCAATTTCATGGCGCTGCTTACCGCAGAATTCCGCGCTTACGATCTCCATTCTGCACTTACCCACATTCTCCACTAACCCTTTAAGCACAGAATCCTTAGTTACGGGATGTACACATGCGCACAAGCCCATATTCCTTGCTAACCCGTGACATACGTTCGCCATAAGCACAGCATTTCCTACTACAGTAGGCGCCAATCTTTCGCTTGCGGTAAGCAGCGCCATGAAATTGGGCCCAGCACATTTCTACCCTTTGCCATTGGTATCATCCTGAGCACCTCAACAGCGCCTTTTAAATTTCTTGCCTGTCAGATACCAATGAGTGACTGTAATGTGACATTCACTAATTTTAACAAATTGATTCACAATTCAAGATATCTTACCATCCATTCATTACACTCAGGGTGGAAAGAAAGTTTGAAGAGAAAGTAGGCATTGTACAACTGGAAGAGCTGCAACATGTAGAAAAATGGAAGATTGTTAGGTCAACTTCAATGAGCATTAATCTTGTGGAAACAGGTTTGATACAAAGGGTAAACAAGACAAAAATCTACTAAAAAAAACAATGAAAAACTACGGATAGGCATTATTAAATTGTCAACCAAAACAGTGTTTTATTCCAAACAAAAGTTCAAGCCCACTCGAGTCAAAGACTGTTGTTCGACTATTGATTTCTTCGGCCAATATGATCAGACAAATCTTTTGAACCACAAATGAATGTTTATCATAAAGCCTGCAGCCTACTTAAACAGAACAATGATCATGTTGGACAGAAAACATGCACATAATCAGTTACAAAATTACCACCCTTGGAAAGTACTTACATATCCAACAAAGAGAAATGGAAGAAGGAATGTAAGGCCTCTCCACATCCACTCCTGAAAACCCTCTGAAAAACACCACAGCAAAAATCAAAACGAAACCAAATGAGTCAATCAAGAGAAGTGCATGCCTAAATTAAACATTGGGTGCATTCAAGTAGCTTCCAGGGGACAACCTTGACCTCAGATGATGTGGGAATGAAGTCAAACCCAAGTCAAAATACTTGGAAGCCACTGGAGGCATGTGGCCTAGTGGTTGGGGGTCTGTAGCTTCTGATCATAGGGTCAGGGGTTCGAATCCAGCTGGTGGTAGCATGTTGCGATCTCGGGCACATCACTTTACCCCCATGTGCCTCTCTCCACCCAGGAGTAAAACGGGCACCTGTGAAGGCAGAGTTGGTTATGTTAGCCATGTGCACCTGATACAGTAGGGCTGCATCAGCTAGTATACTCCCCAGGGAGCTGAGATGGTTTCAGGAATGTTCAGTTGTTGTAAGCCCAATTTGCAGGGATAATGATAATGCAGCGCCTCGAGCATCAGTTGTGATGGATGCGCGGCTATAAGAATATCCACTATTATTACTCTAACTCACCCATGGCTGAGCTGGTTGCCTGCACGTGACACACTAGCATTGACATGTTTTCAGGTTTGCCATGCTTAGATTAACATCAACAGTGTAAAAAATAACATCTTACTTTCCAAGCATAGTCAAGTAACCCATTTGTCATTCTGTCCCATTATTTTGACCAGGCAAGTATTCTAATCAATGTAATCTGGGACAAATCTGGACACTCAGTTTCCAAATTTCTTATAAGCTAATTTCCTAGCATGTGTCTGCGTGTCTTCACGCCAGATCCACTGTAAAATCCAGACTTCAACCTGTCTGTTAACTCACCTACAGTGATGTACATGTCACTTTTCTCACCCAAAGCCCTGAGACGATACAAGCAGCCACTCTGATAGTAATATTGTAGCAGCTGTACAAAATCTTAGAAGAAAAAAGACAAACAATTATTAGTGAGGAAACCTTGAGGGTAAACTGGTGGCTTTCCTGCCATTTCTTATTTTTTTTTGCATTTTTACACTAAATGACAAATTCATATATATAAAAGGTTGTATTTGTATTTTGCATCTGTACTGAGAAGAGTTCAAACAACTTGACTCCGTCTACTTACTTAAGTACAGTGAGAACAACATGAATAAATTCCGGAACATGTCATAGGACACCCCAGCAGGCCAGATCAGCAGAATACCGCACACAACTACCGACAAATAATGATGCAACACCCACCAGCCTTTTATTCTGGAAAAAAAAAATTGTTTTGGTTACATTACTTCTGTTCTTTTCTTGCTAATGGTGCACCAATGAAATACACTTCTGAGGGTTAAGGTGTCTTCAAGAAAACTGGATCTTTACTGCAGCAGCTCATCTACTGCATAGTATTGAGCTGAGAGATGCAAAATAACATGGGATGATCTCAATATTTCCAGCCGATTTTTAAACCTCGACTTTAAGTGACCATTCCCCATTCGGAACATATGGTTCTGAAAATCTAGTTCTCTTTCCATATTGTAATTGGGCCGATGCTCAACCTTAGTCTTGTAGCATCAATGTCCATGGGAGTAACCAAACCAACTTGTTGTAACAAGAAAACCTTGTTATGATAGGACTGGAAAAATAAAAGAATTCAAGAGACTCAAGACTCTATAATTTGCTCCTAATGACATCATTAAAGTTGTTATTAAAGTGCTATTCCTACCAGAAGACACCTGTACCTCATCTGATTTGACTTTAAGTGTATGTTGAAAACCACACTGTATTTTCTTGTTGAATGAAGAAGCTACTTTGTGTGGGACCATTCCATGAAATAATAACCCCCAGTTTTCCAACGTGGTTCCTTCTGGAAAAACCAACATTCCTAATTTGGACAGGTGTACCATTCAAGTGGTTGGTCCTGTCAGACCGTAGTTATAACAATCAGCTGATGGTTTATCATACATTCTTCTCACATGTCTGTTCCCACTAGCGCTGGTCATTGATGTTTTTACCTGGATCCATTGTGTCGCAGAATGCTCTCCCGTATGACCAGCGTGCAGTAGTACCACACTAGCAAGAAGTGAAACAGGGCATCGCAAACTCTGCATGGAAGAACACCAGACACGGTGGTCAACGACAGGATGTGCAACTGCACGATGACGAGCGTTAACCAAATGCACCGTTGAACACAAGGTCCAGGATGCTACCTCGACCCAAGCAGCAACACGAATCCTTCAAAATCCTACAAGTGTTGGGGTATTCTTCAGCACTGTAAAGTGCAGAGCCTAAGGACTATTACTCTCCATGTATGGGGCTTGAAGTGTCTTGGCAGGAGTGAGAACTTAGATTTTAGAAGTTTCCTTTCAACATTAAGGAAGTTTGAAATATTTTGTAACCATATCTCTGAAAAGTAATATTCAGCATACCAAATCACCTGTAGTATTTCCATTTAACTAGCGATGTAATATGTCAGTTTGATATCACAAAACTGTCACTGATAACAAGAACTTACATATATATATACCTTGTACTTTGGGGACAAAAAGAGAGAGTTTGGTGGCTTTTGGTACCTGAAATTGATGAAGAACGATGTAGAAAATGAGCATATCAACATGATGATGGTCATGTAGAGTTTGAATCTCTCGTACTCCTCCTTGTAGTCAAACCTGTGAGAGGAACAGCGAGGCAATCAGCCATCTATCAGAAAGAGTTGGATTAATCTAAGCACCACACTTTACCTGAGTACTTTGTCTTAGGCACAGAATATGTGCAGCATGCAACTCAAACTCTGACGTGGGGTAACTTTATTTATAAAAATATTTAAAATACACACCAAACATCCTGCAATGCAAGTTGTGGGGACTGTACCTGTGTTGAACGATAGTTATTACGAGGAAACAATTCATGGTGATAACTTTTTGTCCACACAGCTCAGTCCCAACTTTGCCAACAATCGAAATTGTGCTCTCAAATGACGCAGGCCAGGGCACAAACAGGTAATGTACATGTATGCCTTCTCCGAGTTGTCCAGCCAGACTGTATGTGCCAAGATTTAGCATGATTTTGTCTACATGTATATGATGCAATTAATTTTTGTAAGGGATTTTATCAGACGTTGAATAAAATTTCAATACACAAGTAAAGGGATTTTTGTGTGTTGAATGTGGTTTATAATATGGCCACCCTTTTGGCACCTTCAAATTTTCATTTTTATCTTTGTTCCATTTTTAACGTATTTTTCACGAGGATCTGGAGAGTTCACATACTCACTTCTCTGTTTTACTCAGCAGAGACACACTAACTTGGCCCAGGGACAGCTTGAGAAATCCTCTGTAGAGAAAGAATGAATTTGTGTTTTGTTTTAACAATCACATATGAGATGGGGCAAAGAAAAACAAAGTTGTGCTGATGACACTGTGCCCTAATATGTACATCACTGGTCAAAATGTACACCCCTTGTACTGAATTACACATATGCTAATTGATCACATGCTTAGTGGCATCATACCGCCATATAGATGTACTGGTAGTTGAACAACCTCAAGAGTTTTAGCATCCTTGGCCACGTTAAATATTATTCTACACAAAACTTTCAAATCATTGTATTTTGAGAGAAACACACTGTGCAGAAGAGACATGTTTCTGGAAAGCTGTCATGACATGACTATTTTGTAAACAAATGCCAAATGGTCTGTAATCAGACACTTTACGATATAGAATAAATTGTGTCACCTAACTTCTGGTTATCAGTCATGTAAATCATTTGTTCTACATGTACATTTCTGGAACTTCAAATAACTCCAAAAACACTGAAGCAGTTGTAACAACAACACTTGGTTGCCTTTCCTCTGCACCTACTCTGATGGCCTTGGCAGCGACTCGTGAATCTCCACGCACACTTTCTGTTTCTCTGCGACATGTCTCTGTAACTCCTCCCATCTTGGCTTGTCCTCCAATCCGAGGTCTTTACCGTTCCTGAGAAAAAAAGAATCCACCCGTCAAGTGCGAGGGCACTGACTCAACTCATAATTATTGCCAATTAAAAGCTTGACTTGAGTCACAGTTTTCATGTAATTATGTGTCATATCCATGTTTAGAAGGAAACTATTTCTTTCAACTGGTCAAGAAATAAAGAAGCATTCAAAAAGTCATTTGAAAATTTCAACACATATTTGAAATCTTTGGTAAACCACAGCCATTGATGCAGATAATGTGGTTTAAAAATGAAGATATATCATAAAATTTAGCCAAAATGTTTGAACGTCTAAGACTGCACATTTTGTCACTACAAGATGAGGGAGAGAGTTCCATATACGGACTGTACACAAACCCTATGAGACTGGTCTGACAAATTCCCAGTGTTTTCTATGTGAATACCTTAATATTTTCCCTGCTAAATGCGACTTGTTACATATAGGTCATGTTATTACTTTCAGATGGTTAATAGCTAACCGGATGGAAAATTTAGGGGAGTCTGTCTATGGAACTCTTTCCAATATGAATTTGTTAGATTCGCATGGTGTTGTGTTGGAGCATGTGTTAGTTTATTCACAGGCCTTCGACTGGTAACTTCAAACCGTATAACTAAAAATTCTCTTCCAACCTGTGGCTCACAGTCCCACAGTTTGTCCAAAGTTCTGCCTTTCTGGAATTGACATTAAAAAGACTTAAGGTTGTCTGCAGTTTGTGAAAGTTGATGCAGTCACCATATAGTTAACTTACTTCTTAAGAGACTGGCTGATTTGTGCATATTTCTTCTTCTGATGAGCCACCATCGACATGCATGACTTTTCGATAGTCCGCAATGCCTCCAGTGTCTTCTTGTACTCTTTGTTTTTCTCCTGTTAAATAAAGAACTGTGACATCTTTTTGTCTTCTACAATAAAATGATATTAACGACATGACTGGGTGTAACTGCAAATTAATACAACCTCATTTGGATGAACCAAGGTGCAACACCTGAATGTAAGTATTGTATATCCCCAGAACTGTGGGGTCTGTTTACCGCACAGTGAATGACAGACCCACCCACAGTTCTGGGATAAGTATACCCCAGAACTGTGGGTCAGGGTGGCTGTCGGACCCCACAGTTCTGGGGGTAGGGTAAGTACTGGGGGCTCATTACCATTAGCACCCCATTCCTATAATAAGGAAAACGAAGTCCACTTTTTCAAACTGACATTCAGACCTTGAGGATCTGTTCCTTAATCCTAGTAGCTCTCATTTAGGTAAATTTTGACAATATTTAAGCAAGAAAACCCGAGTTCAGCAAAAGACGACCGCATCATGCCATTTTGTTTCACGTCTTGTTACCCGACCCAGCCATTGTAGATATACTGAATTTCATAAAAGACACTTTTGTGGTTCCAGGTCAAGGAACCAGATGAACGTACTGATTCATCTTCACAGCTCTTCATCACATCATTTACATGTATGCTCCCATTTTACCCTACAATATCCCTCAAAAACCAAAGGCCTTCCCTCTTTTCTTTTAAAATAAATTTTAAAAAACACACGTTTAAAAATACTTTATGGCACCTTGTATAAATTAAACAATAAATAAATAAATACATCCAACAATAAACCGTTACTTCTTCTGTAATTAAATATTTAAAAAGCAGAATAATAATAAAAAAATTATCCAGGATATACACATACAATAAATGACATTATGAGATTGCATATGGGAACAAAAACAAAATAATGAATAGAGGATTGCACTAACAGAACAAGGGTAGCCAAACATGAGGTAAAAAGATGGTTTTTATAAAGATATTATTTGTGTGAATTTCCTTTGAGTGATTCAAAATAAAATAAATATAATTTGAAAATAAAATGTAGACAAATAAACCAGGCAGGAAACAAATAGGCCTATGTTCAGATGTTTACATTATTATATTAGTTGTACCATGGGGAAAAAATCTAAGCCAAGGGCCGGGCTTATGCATCTTACAGCCTGATGAAAATTAAAATCTTTGATCAAATGAACTGTACTCTGTAGTGAATTTTCCTTATGTAGGGTATGATCAATGCAGAAATTGTTTAGTTATCCAAACATTCCTAACCAGAACACAACTTTAAGGTACGCAAGCTGGGTTGTTGGGGGCGCAATTCCTTTCTTGTACGCTAGGCCTGCACACTATACATGCTATATAGACCTATGAAACATTGGGCCTACTAGTAGTACAGCGTATGGCACTCACTAAATCATGTCAGTGCATATCGTATCACAAATCTACTCCTTCCTAAGAAATGAAGTTAGATTTCAGTTCTTTCTACCTGCAAAGAAACAAACTCCACATTGAGGTCATCAAGCTCTTCTGCTAATGACAAAAGCATGGAATTGGCCATAATTCATGAGAACAGATAGGGCAAAATAAAACATGAAACTACGGATCTGTCATTCGATGATCGAACAGGTGACAATAACGACACGATGACACGACAACTAGTCAGGTTCTGTCCCTCTGCACTAATTTTTTTCAACCGGGTCTGTGAAAGGTGCAACAGGAACTATACGAGAAAAGTTAGTGACCTTTGACCATTGCATTAACCTCAATCTATTTCTTTGAAATTATCTGTGTTGCTCGAGAAAAAAGGTATTTAAAAAGCATATAAATGTTTTTAAATTTATTTAATATTTTTTAAAGCTTGTGGATTAACTATGCAAAAATTTAAGAAACAATTTGACATCAATGTAAATGTTTTATGAAAGAGGCTCTTTGAAGCACATGTGTGCATTGCAATCCCATGTCATGCGTGTGATTTGCTAGTTAGGCTACGATAAGTGCTGAAAATTGTGTGTTAAATTACTAGATAATGGCCTTTTCAGTCACTCGAAATTTCGCAAGTGTTGCCGGTAGAATGCTTACACAGTGTAGGTATACTACATCGGCGACATCGAAATGCCTTCTGTCCATCCAGAAAGATTGCCAAATGAGCCGTCCGTTTACCAGGTCGATTTGGTATCTTTGCAACAACCACTCGAGCAAAGACACACACCCTGGCGGCTTGGAGCACGTGTTGGCTCAGGCGACGAAGTTGAGGGATCCTAGCAAATCATGCAGCTGTGGCTGTGCTGGAATGCACACACAGGGTAGGCCTATTTCCACTATTTCCTTTCTGGCTAACCATGCTAACTATCCAATGTGGGAAAAGTTCCATATCAGTCTGGGAAATGCGCGAAGTAGGAAACATTTCCCAATTCGGAAACATGTTACAGAATTACAAAACTTCCAGTGTTTGCAGGTGAATGCACCTTTTCTAAAAGGAAACGGGAATTGCAACCCAGTATTAGTCGTTTGGGAGGGCGACCAAACTCGGAGGGGTGGACTGGAATTTCAAATTAGGATGATTTCCCCAATGCTATTAATTTATCTAACAGATGTTCAATTACCGAAACTACATGTAGGGTAAAATTGTGGAAATAAAACTGAAATTATGGCACGAGTTGAAATGTTATAGAGTGCGAAATAAATGTTTAGACACAAGAAGATAAGGGGCGTCCTTAATTATACTTGTAATTTGCAATTCTGACAGTTATTAAAGCTATTTTTTCCCCACAAAAATATATAATAAAGTGATTGCACTGTAATCTGTGATTCCACTCAGTCAAAAAGTTTGATGCTGTCGTTAAATTAAAACTAGAATTAAAATACCAGATCAGCTACTAAATTAATTACACAATTTAAATCACTTTTTTTTTTCACTCCACCTGTAATTCAAATAATTCTCTGAATCTTTGTGTAATTTAAACAGATGAATCTTATACAGTACAAAATCCCAACCTTTTCTCCTATGAAGTGATTTCTCAAGCAATTAAAATGTTGCCCCAAACCAGGTTTCATCTGAATTGAAATGTTCCTAAAATGTGACTTAAGAAAAACAAATTTGTGTGATGCAAAACACGTCTTTTTTGAATAATATAAAAATATTGTTACACAGCAATGGACAACACTGGTACAGACGTGATCAGGTTCTTGACAAAATAAAATCAAACAATTTGTGAACTGGCTAAACAGAATACTGAACTTTGGCAACAAGTCTTTTGGGGGACATTGCCGATGGTACTGCCTGCCACATCTTTCAAACTTTTCCAGCATGGTGTACCTGTTCAGTGCAATCTTTGAAAATGCACAGATTAAAATTTGCGTACACAATTTTTAAACTTTGCACAACCACAGATATTGCCATAAAAATTTTGTGCAGCGATAAAAATTATGTGGATACATGAACCACACGCAACAGTCGTATGTAAGAGACTGACACCAACTACATGTTTTGCACAATTTTGTCTGGTCAGTTTCACTCGTGATGCGTGTGACCTTTTAAATTCCCCTGATGAGATTTTATTTGAAAAATTGTTCGAGCCGTACAGGTGTTTATTATAAATATATCTGCAATAAAATTAAAAGTAGATTCCCAGACAAAATAAATAACAATTAGAGAAAATAAGAGTTTTGAAAGAACCTCCAAAACTACTAGTTTGTACTGGAATCCTAGCCTTTACTCAAGGCAACAGTTTCCCAGCTTGACTGGTACCAGATAGCTGGAGACTTCAAAGAGAATGGGAATCCCCACATCGCCGGCCTCGCCGGGGCCCGGTCATATGCCAACCATCATGACTTTCTTTAAAAATCACTCAGTTCAAGGCACAAAAATTGTACAAGTTCAAAGATTGCTCTCAACATTATCTGCACAGATTTAAAATATGCACAACCTAATAAAATTGCTTAAGTAAAACTGCTCAAGTTAGGCAAATTTTAAATTTGCCCACTTTCAAAGATTGCACATACCCGACAAGAGGCATGAGTACTGTAGATGGCTTATTGAAACCAATTTGATTCATGATGTGATTCCAATGATTTTGGGCAAATGGCAAAAAGTTTGCCCTTTTGATTCCTTTTTTTCAACTTATTTACCTGCACCAGCAGACAGTGTTCCAGACTTTTAACATTTTACATGACAAAGACACATCTCTTAGGCCTTTGGTACCTTTTGACAACCATGCAGCATTTGGGGGGCTCATTGTTAGTAAAAAACATGCTCTTATTTGTTGTTCAGGTGATCCTTTCTTTAAGTTGTATTTCATTGCTTTTAACATTATTTTGTTTTTCAAATTTTTATTTATTTTTTTTTAATTTCTGTGTGTGTGCAGGTGATGAGGAGTTGGCCAAATTCCTTAAGGAAGAGATACAGCTGGAGAAAGACAGCCGACAATTCCCCGATGTGCCCCAAATTGGGGACTTTCAATTGTCACAAGAGGGCGCTGTAGCAACACTGACAAAGAAAAAGGATGGGGAAACGTAAGAGAGACACATACCCTGAAAACGGGAATATTCAAGGTGTATTTTTGCGCTGGGGAGATGTTAATTTATAAAACGGATTTTGCTCTTAACCAATTAATAAATACTGTATGTATATATACGTTGGGTAAGGACAAAACCCGTTATGTAAATTAACATATCCCAATGCAAAAAAAGAAAAATCTTGAAAATAGTTCGCAGTACCTGCTGCTTCACCTGACTCGGACCAGCCAGCCGACCCCGGCAAGGTCGGTGGTCGAGTGGTTAAGACGTCTGCACTAGTAAGCAGGAGGTCGTGGGATCGAGTCCAACCCGAGTAAGCTTGTGACTTTTTTCGCAAGCTCTTAGATATGCACTGAACATACAGTGTTTATTGAATATACGTTGGGTAAGGGCAAAACCCGTTATGCAAACTGGAAGTTTGAGAGGTCTACTCTAGGCTGTTAAGAATGTTTTATTGCAAAAAAGCACTTTGTGTTCTTCTGTAGGCCAGACTTTGACGTAGGGACTGTAGAACCTTAACTGCCTGCGGGCACATCAAAGTTCACCAGGAAGGTTAGGGAGGATTTCATGTGATTGTGATGATACAGCCAAACAACTTTTACTGTGCATGGGGATTGATTCCCTTAGGAAGGTGAGATTAATAGATCTTAAGGTGCTATCTGTCTTTGGATCACGTAGTGGGTTATGTGCAAAATTACATTGAAGTATAAATTAAGGTTTACGAAAAATAAGAAACTTCAGACATGTGGCCTGCATACAGTTTTACTGAAAATATTTGCAACGTTCAGCTTTACCTTCCCCAACAAACATGAACAGTATGGGTCAGTTTTATGTGGTGATTTTCTCAAACCTTCTGTGACTATTGCAGGGTGAAGGTAATGTTCAATCTCAACCACTCCGTTGAGGAAGAGCCTCAGGAAGACAAGCCAGAGGAGGAAGCCGCCTCAAAGGTAATTATTTGCCTACTATCCCCTGCCCCTCCAACCCTCCCCTGCCCCTTCATTAGCCTGTCGAATGGAAATTCAGACCACCAAAGCAGCCAGTTTTGTCATTCACTCTAGTGTATCATTGTGTGGTATCCCACTTTTTGTTCAACATGCAGTTGAAGTTTGTCTTTGTATAGTGGAGAGATTCAACCTCTCAGCCTTTGTTGGTGCCCTGACTGTTTGAATTCAGGTTTGCATCCATCGGCATTGTAGAGTATCAGTGGTTGTGTCCATAGGCAAGCCACTTTTCAGCAATGGGTTTCATTTGAGCAAAGAAAGTGGATTTTCATTTGTAGTGAGTTATTTGTCTTGTCAAGATGGTTATTGGTACTTCACAAAAATAGTTTTCTTTGAGAATGGTTCAGAAAACAAGCATGTTAAGCATTGTTTACATTCCAGAAAGCTTTTAATTTCTGGCATTTTTACTGTTGATTCAGTAAAAGAAGGGAAAACGGCCAGTTTTCATTATCTTCGGATACACACACAAGCACTATGGCAAATACCAGACTTGCAAGGTGCCATTTGCCACCTCGTTATGGTTCTTTCCCAAGTTGCGATCCTACCCTGAATTCACCGTGGATATCACCAAGGACACCCAGAGCACCTTGACCATCAGCTGTCGATTTGACTTGAACGAAGTCGAGCCGGAGGGGGAGGAAGGGCCTGAAAGCAACGACCTTTTCATGATCGATGAGGTCAGCATACAGGACGGGCAGGCCTCTGAGTCAACATACAGGGTGGGGTCAGAGGTCATGGATGCTGTAAGTTATGAATATTCATTATTAAGTTATATTCAGTGTAAGCCGTGTTGGGGAAAAATTATTTTCAAATTTAATCAAGCTTCTTTCAATTAGTCAGACAAAGATCAGCTCTCAGTTTTTGGCAAAACGGCCCTGCCGTTTCAGTAACAAACAAAATTTGCTTATCTGTGATAGAAGACATTGTCGTGTGCCACTAGTACACAATGCCCATCTTGGGTCGAGTTTGGAAAATTCAGTCTAATTTTGGGTGTTTCAAAGATCATGCCGATCAGACTTGTTGCCGCAGGCAGCAGCAACACTGATAAAGATTGGATAAGGGATAAGCCTGCAAAATTTTGCAACGAAAGCAAAATATTTTACAAATTTGGACATCAAAAGTCAGGCTGACCTGGACAAATGGTCAGGACTGACAGAGAACTCCAAACTGTGCAGTGCGAATTTTGAGTCACAGTGTTTTCTGCGGAACACGTACAACTCGTTTAGGTGAAGTGAGACGCTGTGCCCATGATCTGTGGGAAATAAAAAATGCCTGTGAACAACAAAGGGTACATTTCCAAATCGGCCCACGCTATTTCACTCAATATGTTGTGCAATTTCTTATACATTGGCCATACCGCATGTGGACATGCTTTTACCGTGTGCGTGGGCATCATATACAGTACATGGACATGTACGTGCATGTAATTTCCATTCCAACATTGCACGGGCACGTAAATTGTGCTTGTCCAATGTCCGTCTTTCTCTCGGGTCTAGGCAAACCAAAAGGATGCCTGACTATTATTTGGGTTCCAAAATGTACGTCACCCATGATGTCATCGTTTATCACAAAACATTCATTTGAGGGGTCAGTGAAATTAATCACAACAAAGGAAATTTTATTCCATTTTACATTCCCTATCTTGTTACTGGCATAGTAGTGAATGTTTTAAACAATGAAATCAACAGTTTGTCCACTGATGTCTTCATGGACCGTTTAACTTTTTACAAGATACCAGTCAATCAGCTTTCTTTCCAGTTCGCTATTTCTCATGCTGTACCATTCTGAATGGTTTAAAGATAAAATGATACCTTATAACACTGGCTGAATTGGGATTTTGTCATTCATGACCATTCACAAAGCAGTGTTGGAGACTCAAATTTGAGTTTCCCCATGTCAATATCGTGCTACTTATGCCTTGTCCAATTCAGTCCTTCCACCAGAGTGACTCGGGCTGATGTAAATCCTTTCCCAAGACAAGCTATAAGTAACAGGTTGAAGAATGACAAGTGAATGCTTCTGTCTCAGCTCAGTAGCTAGTGTCTTAACTTTTAACTAAATGACTGAAGATGGACTTGCACAAACTTGTGATGGACTCAACTTCAACTCCGTAATTGGTCTGTTGTGGTTGGTGACTGGTTGTTTGTTGGATTTCCTTTTCCTTCAACCCTCCTTAGAATCTCTACAATTTCCTGATGAACACGTTAGAGGAGAGAGGCATCACGGATGAGTTTGTTGAGAAGCTGTCGGACCTCTCCAGTGCCCTCGAACACAAGCTATACATTGAGTTCCTTCAGAAACTCCACAAGATCGCCAAATTCTAAGGCAAGCTGGCTATGTTATGCTTGTACTCACACCGTGATTCATTTCCACTTTTTTTTTTAAGTGCAGGCTTTGTTGCAGTTTAAAGGGGTTTGGTCTTCATTGCAAAGGTGAAATGTAAGTGCAAATTTGTCAGCACTTCAGCTTGCCATAACCCCACAAATTAATGTACGTGTTTGTTTTTACACCAAGTAAGGCCAAGTCCAAATCAAATGGATGTGGCCAGGATGTGGCCAGAACACATGCATCTATGAGATGTGAATTTGGCCCTTAGCCGTGGTTTCCATAGGCATATGTGGCAGTTCCAGCCATAGCTGTAACTTTTGGATATAGACAGTGAAGTGGCCTTATTCCTGAATCTCGTTGGGTACCCAGAAAAATCAAACAAACTCCAAACACAGCAAAGGACTTCTGGTTGATGTGCAGATAAGCATCAACTTGAAACTGCTGTCTCTTGTATTTTGGTGAATTCCCAAGAATTTGTTAAAGTTGGGTTACGTGTCCGCCAAGTCAGAGGGCTTTCACCTGTATTCTGTGCAACACACCATCTTGAAAGGTCACATATCAATTCTCCAATTGTAGGTGCAGAAAACAATGATGTAATAAAAATGTGCATTTCAATTTGTTTCTGTGCACATTGACTTTGTTAATTCAGGAACTTTATCCGTTATATCAAGATAAGATTAAGCATTATTCATGACGCAGTATGCAAAAGATTTGAGATCATTTGAAATCATTTCAGTGCAGTGGTCCATGAGGTAATTCTAACAAAATTCATGCATTTCATCTGACTGGAATCACAACTACTTTTGATTTAATGTAGCAGAATCTGGACGTGTCTATCGAGGAGGGAATGACGATAAATGGTGTCTTTGCTTAGCCTTAATACACTTAGTGTATAAGAGACAGTCATACATGTAACGTATGGTGACATTCCTCTTCACTCTGTTCAGGCACCCCAAGTAACATCACAGCAAGTAGGTTTGGCAAAGAGTTGATTGATTGATCAGGGAGATGACTTACCAAATTTCCACCGCAGATCATGTACAGGACTTGTCAGGAGTCATGAAATAGACACTGTTCACTTGTGTTGCACTTTTATAATATTTTATTCTGTATACTCTGTATCTTATCCTGGGTACGTGCAGGCTGAGGGTGAAAGAGGAAATGTTGGGGAATTATTACACATCTACCATATATATATAAGCAATTCAAGAATAATTTGTCCTGAAAAAATATGAACTCTCTCTATATGGTGACATTTCTCAACAAGTTGAATGCACCAGTATGTAGTCATTTAGTTGAATGTGCAGAACACTCAGTCGTTTAGCATTTAAACCTTAAAACTCCTTCAGTTTTGCTATAGAAATCTCAATAATCTATTAAAAACGAGTGTAAAGTGTCCATTAAAACAGTGCAGTGTCGAACGAAAACAGAAAACAAACTGTATTGCTTGTTATTCAGGCAGGGTTTGGCATTTTGTCTCACTACAAATTTGTTGCACACAAATACTAAAAAGAAGAATGCTGTCAAGTCAAAATCAAATCCTCGAGTAACTTCAGACTGGACTTGCACATGTTGCTTCTTTCTCTAGTTCAATTACATCCAAGGCCAGCACTGTCTTTCTACAATAAAAAGCAGTTATTATTTTTGGTTCCCAATACTGACAAATACAGATAAATACCGTGCACCGCCAAGAGGTTGCCAACTTGCCATGGAGATGCCTGTTTTTAACTTAACAATTGGCAAAAGCATGAGCACCTTGCTACAATATACATTTGAGCTTTTGAGCAAGTTTGGGATAAAACTTACTAAGCTCAGAAAATATATGTGCCTCACCTAAAAGGCTTGTAATGGCAGGTTACCAGCCAAAGAGCCATGTAGAGTGTGTAACTCGAGACTGGGTCCTGGCTCATTTTTGCTCCAAGCAGTACCTTCTCTGCCAAGCAGCTTGCTGTTTGTTGATTTGTGCAGTAAACTCATGAACTTTGCGAGCAACAATTTAAACAAGCAAAATGTACGAAATAAACTCAACAAGATATTGCAAAAAGGAAACTGTTCAGCTTTTTCAGAATCTGATCATCTATTGAAATACATGTACACTAGGATAATGCGTCAGGTTTCCTTATTGTAAAAAGGAGCAAATATACATTTTAATTCTCATAGAAAAATTGTTTAATTATTGCACATCTTCAAGTTTAAGGATGGAGATGAATGGACATTATGCTGTTTAATTTGCCAATTCAAATGTGGAAATTATACAAATAAACTGAACCCTGAAGTTTGCATATAACAAGGGTATCTGGTACAGGCTTGTACATGTAGGCTGCAAACATTGTTGTCAACATGGATTATCCTTTTGTGGTAAAGTGTGACTAGTACATAACATTGCAGACTGTACTGCCTTTGATAGTACACATGGATATTACCAATGACAACAGATTGCTTTATCTTTTGGAAAAAGGACATGTACATGTATATATATGGACCAATTTCAAAATGAAAACTACTCATGGCAAAAGACGTCACAAGGCAATACAAGACTAGGCAAATACATATACCTATTGGTCTAGAACCCATCAACTGGCTGATCTTAAATGGTTGGAAAAGCACTGGCTGGCTGATATAGACACTTTTCCTGTGTCACGTGAAATTTAGACTGCAATGAAACTTGTCCCTTTACGCTTGGTGTATTGCTTGAATGCTCGCAACTTTTACTTGTATATGTATTTGCACGTTACTACCACAGTGTCTGCATTTTGAGAGTCCCATCTTCACCGTACACTGGCTCATTGCATTCTTTGCCACCCAGGGAATATGCACCACACAGGCATCAATATCCTTATTAGGAAATTGGTTATGACTACTCACAAGAGGCACATACCATAACATGCCTGGAGGTGTTGTTAAAAAATAGTTTTGTCAAACAACATAATTTGAATAGATAATTTTTTAAAACTTGTTTTGACATTCTGACTCGGAAGATACGTATTTATGAATGGGAGTAAATATGTGCTTGCAGGCCTTAAAATGAACGATGGGCCACGATGGCCAGTGCTGCCGTTACCCTTCTCACTGGCCGAGGTGCCCCACAAAAAATCTCCGTCCTCAAGGCCAGTTTTACCTTGCCCTATACATGTATTTACTGTGGTTGTGGCACTCTTTTCCATAAACATCCATAAGCCTATTAAAAACATGAAAATCATTGGTTCAAGATGCTTGCAAACCCGTTGAAAGTTTATTTTGATGTCATTTCACCCCGATCAGCTGTCTCAAAATCTCGCAGAATCGATGTACAGACGTTGCACACAACGCACACCTGCTTTGATGTCAATGGACTGAATGTACATCGTGTACATCCACACAAAGCATGCAGTGTATATGTACTGTACATGTACACTTGTACGTAAAAGCATGGGTCCGGAATGTGCTGATACTTCAAGAAGCGACACCCCCGCTGCAAAAATAAATGCCTCTATTCGTGCACTTACATTCCAGCAGGAGTACGTGCGAAAGATATCACGGGCAGAGTTGCCTGACTTTCTCTTTCTCAGTGCTCATATATGTGGTACACCATTCACATTAATTCATATTGAGGTCCATGTACGAGGCGTGCGTGCGTGCATTCGGTGTACGTTCTGATTGTCAAAACTTTTTGATGAATGAATATTGGCATTTAGCCTCCATGCTCCTTTTACAGATTTTATCTGGCCTTGGTGCTCTCCCAACTGGCCGCGATGCCCTCGGGAACTTTGCTTAATTCAAGGCCAAAGTGGCCTTGCCCTAAAAATTACCAAATTCAAGGCCTGTGCCTGGCCAGTCTTAATAAAGAGACATGTATGCAAGCCTCTTGATAGAACAGATTATTAAAAATTTGGTGTACTTATAAACTTGATTCATACCAAAATATATGTATAACAGACTAAATAAAGGCATATTTCAAAGAATATGTGAAATGAGTTCCATCACTAAGCACACTGGTTAGCTTTGGTTTCTCTCGTGTTGGTGAACGGTCATCTTGCACAGAATCGCCTTATGAGACAGTGCAAAGTGATCCCTTGCAGAAGCGGCCCTTTGAGTCTGTGTCATCGTCACCAACCTGTACAGTAGGAAACAAAATGGAAAAACAAATCAAGCTTCAAGTACGTGTATTAATCCTGTTTCCATCCTATTCACAAGAAGAAGCTCACTTACACAGGCCCTAATATTCCCAGATTGTTCAAAATGTTTGTGGGGGTTTTGTGGTGTCCAGCCACTGTTACTTTCCCGATGGCTGGATATATGCATCCTTTGAAAATACGAGGGCATTGTTGAGTTACTGCAAAGCAATCAACGGTGGAAGACTTATGATGGTTCCAAACTCCAAACAAAAATGTCCACTATGTTTGGGGTAACCACATCAGAATTTCTACTCCTTGCAATGAAATTGAGACACAGATTCTTGTTCTAGGCTTTAGTCTTGCATTAAATAAAAAAAGTAGTAACCATGTTGTGAGATAATGAGTAGAGAGATCTGTACACAATTATAAAATAGGCATGAAAATCATAACTAATAGTTGGATAGTTAAATGTTTTTCCTGTACTTTCATTAACTTACTGCGGCTGTGGCAAATGGATTTAAGTTCTCTTAAATGTTTAAGTTTACCATTCCACTCACCAAAGATTCACAGTCCCTCTGTTTACCATCTATCCATGCCTTCCTAGCCTCTGTATTCTGTGGTTTTAATTGACCGCCTGTGGTATCCAGCTTGCTCGCCTCCAGCTCTCTTAACTCAGATTGGTCAGGTGGTGCCATCTGACGCAGCGCGTGCATGCGGATCGGCGACTCGGCCCCGGCGTTGTCATAGCCGGCCTGCCCCAGGGACTGGACCCTGTTACGCTTGCCTAGTCTGAGGCTCCGGCTGCTGCCAGAGCTCGCCCTGCTCCCGTAGTGCTTTCTGTGCACTGGCGTTCCAGGAAGACTTATTGCGTGCTTGTTCACGATGCTGAGGCTTTCGATGCTCTGTGCACAGTCCACAAAATCACTCCCGAAGGGTGTTCTTGGCCGGTTGGCGATCTCTGTGATCCCTAGGTTATTGTTGTTTGGGAAGAAGCAGGTGCATCTCTCGATTGGCGGAAAATGGATCTCTGCAGTTTCCTGGATTCCCTCTTGGTGTGTTTGCTCGGGATCGGGTTTACATGTACAAAGAGTTTCCTGCAAAGGCTGATGAGAGGAAAGGTGCACAGATGCTGTGGAAAGCATTGCAAATATCAAGCAATTTAAAACATTTTCCTTTTTTTACTTTTAGTAATATCCAACAGTTCATGAATGCCCAACTATCTATGCAAGTTGCATTATTACTGTCTTGAGGGAAAAGAAGCAGTTTGTGTAAAGTTTGACCAGTTTTTCAAACTTAACTCTTTACAACCAGACTATCTTGTCAAAACTTCTGGTCTTATTTTTATGAGTGTCCAGTGAGCTGTTGTGTTATCAGTGATGGCAGTCATAACCAATAACTGTTTCAGTTTTTAAACCTTTGTGGGTTGATCTTGCAATCGTTCATTTCCATGAGCAGTTGCAGCTTTTGGTCCTGTCAACAGTCCCAGGTCATTGCTCTGTGGCTTCGTTATGTGATTGCAGTCCAGCATTGTCTCTTTTTCTACCTTGAGAGTTATCAAGATGTCCAGGGGAAAGTGGTCCTGCTCGTCCAGACTGCTCTGGTAGAGCAGCTGGGTTTGGTCATGGCTGTCCTCGCTCGGACTTCCGCTGAGGTAAGCAATGAGGTAGAGCGTCCGCCAGCCATTGGCAATATATCCTGGCAGACATGGAAAGCAAGAGAGGCCAGTCAGCACAGAGTTACAAGTCATCAATTTTCAGGTTCGTTTTTCTTCATGAATCCTTGACTGGGACTTGTTTTTATCATTCAGAAATCACTTTTCCAGAAATTTCTTTTGAAACCTGAACATCTGTCCCATTTTCAACCATTTTCATGTTGAAATGGTTATAACCTTTTCGATAGGCTTCTAAATAATGAGCTATCCAGGATGGAAATTGATCATGCAGCAGCCTTGCCACTTTTGTGTGGAATTGCCCACAGATTTTGTCAGTCAGTCACTTTTTATCATTCAGATTGATTAACTAAATATTAATTAAAATTTTCACATTCAGGGCTTACATGTGACAGGTGTAATGTGTAAAAAGAATCCCAAGGTGCATGGAATTAGTGTTTAAGAGGAATGCGTTCTTTAAACTTACAATAGCAACATGATCAACATCAGTAAGTAAAACACTGATAAACTGTTCATGGTACCTCTGTGAAATCCTCTGTTGAATATAATGTTTCTTAAAATCATCCTGTAAGAGTCTGTATCACGAACCTGATAGGTCAGCATTTTTTTGTGCATCAGGACTGACAATGTCGTACGTGATGATCCCACCGTGTAATGTCCTGCTCAGGGTAAGGGCTTGGATGGAGTCGACGACCAGACCAGTATCCGTGAGGTCCATCTTCCAGCTGACAGACCCCTCGCGATAGCCGGCTGTCCTGGTCAGGTAAGCCTAAGTTGAGGTGATAAACACATTCCTTGTTTTGTAATAAAGACTGGTTTCTTTATAACCTTGGTACCCAAGGTGGTACCCAAGGTCTTAAACCTTGGGTTGGAGGTCCAACACAGAGTCTATGTGTTATGCATGTGCCTTTTACTCACACACGAAAGTATTATTCATTCAAAATTGTCTCTTTCGTTTTCTTCATTATTTCACTTTCTCATTGTTTAAAACCAGTAGTGTGAGTCAACTGGAACAGAAATTTCATTCCAATGAGACATTAACACCATACAACTCCAACGGTTGCTAAGGAAAACAGTACTTCCCAAATGAAGACGTCTGGCAATTAATTCCCAGTTTATATCCCCTTGTGTTGTGAGAGCAATTGCCAACATACTGCATGTGGTTATAGGTAGCATCCTCTGTGTGGAGTGCTTTGGAAAATCGAAATTCCAACTTGCAAAGAATCCAAATGGAATGAACTGGAAGCAGTGATGTATGGGGGCAAGTTCCCCCTGCTATTGGGAGGAACTCTCAAGAGTTCAATGTATGTCATGAATAGCAAAATAAATAAGATATTTATTACAATTACAGGTAAAAGTTCCATACAGTCACTAATTTTCCCCTGCAGTGGTTCATCAACAACCAGAAAGTGACAACATATGCTAAAAGGTCAAAATTTAGCAAGGAAAGTATTGAAGCCTTTTCTTAAAAAACGAGAATTCAGACTATGTCTCGTAAGATTTGTGCACAGGGTGTTAAATGATGTCTGTGCATGAAACTTTCCCAAGAACATTAAAATCCATTAAAGATTCAAACATAATAGTATTGAAAATTAAAAGAGTAAAAGGATTGCATGACAGCTCAACCATGTACTGCAGCAGAAAAATGTAGAACATTTTTCTACAGAAAAATAGTGGTGTCTTTGAGGATTTAGTTTTGCAATATTTTAAAGAGAAGTCTTGTACATATATAATGAGATTCAGGGGTCAAACAACTTTGGGAAGGTAGGGTCATTCAAAAGATTTCTTTCCAGTAAGAAAAAACACTTGCATTGTTCCTTTTCATGAGCGTTAATTTGTCAAAACCCTAAGATGAAAATGCAAGACATCCAGGATCAGAAGACTTTTTGAGAACATTATTTATTAAAAAAAAAGAAGAGAAAGAGAAAAGTGAGATAATTATACAAACTGGAGACAGATAAGGGAGTTTTCACATGCAGCGTAATTAACCACTGAATGCAGCAACATTCATGTAATATACCACTCAGGTGCCAAATCCCAAGGTTCGTTACACAGTCACTGATGTCATTACCAGCCATCTCTAACTATCCTGACAATGTCAGGCTAGCACGTTAATCAAATTACAGAATGTACAGTGTACTGCTTTTAGTTGTCGGAACTTTTTAGCAGTGAATTCCTTATACAATCCCTCTGTGCCGGGCTTAAGGAGAATTCCTCACAATTAACATGCAGCCATAAAAGTCAAGGACAGTGCTCCTTAGTACGTGCGAATATATTTTATCGAGTACTGGTATGGATCAAAGTGGCACAAATTTTGAGTAATTGACAGCATTGCCAAAGATCATGTTAATGTGCGAATCTCATAAAATGATTGCGATGTTAGCACATATCAGTACCAACTCCAAATGTTGGAACTTATTTATCTCATCAACCGATGATTAAACATGGCAAAGTTTGAATGAATGCAATTCAATTTTTCTAATGAAAGCTAAATAATTTTCCAAAAAAGTTATCAAACCAATTGAGAATTTCTGTCAAATAACTGGAAGCACATTGTAGTACATGTATCTCTTCGATCCATGTATTGGTTTTTCTTTTTTTATTTATTTATATTAGCCTACTTACCATTTCATCATCAACATGCCGTTCAATATTCACTGCGGTATAGATTCCATTTTCCCAACCTTCAATGACGGCTGCACTGGAGCCTAGTCTGTAGTACGCGTCGGTTCTGGTGCTGTAGCGTAGCTGAAACACTTTTCGTTCCACTTCGCATTCCGTCAATGTAAAGACATGGTTTGTTGTCCGTACCTAAGTATCGAAAAAAATTGGCAAAGACATTTTTGAACAGCCTGAGTAAAGTCCACTAGTTTTTATTATTTAAAATTATGTTTTTCCTACAAGATTTAGTGAATACTGATTATTTGTCACTGGAACGTAAGTAATTAAAGAGCCTAGAGTATTTTATTTTTTTTTATATTAATACATGTACTTTATTTTCTTGAAGACAGCGAAGACTAAAATCGTAATGCATATCATAGAACCGTGATGCTGTAGATCTCTTACTTCCATCATAAAACTGGCCACTGACAAAATGATTTCAGCAAGCTGCAGCGTACTTCTACCGTTGTATTATTCCATCCTGGACATGTCGATGTTGTGAATGACACTGTTTACAACAAAGAATAATTGGCAACGAAACATTGCATGCTATTATGCGGCAGAGAGGCAGTGCCGCAACATAAGACAGCCGGGATTGTCATGATTTTTTTTCTTTAGCATCATGACGTTTGGTATTTTATCAATCTTTTACCAAATAAATCTTATGCTGAAACTCAAACTGTGTATCAGAAATGGCATTGGTGATGAGCGAGCAGTCCCAATATATCTTATTTATTAAAACCTATTAAGTGACGGCAGCTCCACTCGGTGCAGGCGGTTAGTTTAGCAATTTCACTATAATTCGTTTGGTGCGCTTTCTAATCCAATCTGTATTGACCAGGCAGCTTCAGTTCAGTTGATCTTGAAACGTCGCATTTGATTCCCAACTTGATAAAGTGAATTGCCTAGAGGCATTTTCATCATCATTTAGAATTGATATGATATATTCTTTCTATTTTTTACCATTTTATTTTTAATTTTGTTTAACGTCATGTAGTCAAGTCACTGACGGCGGAAGCGAGGTTCCCCCCCACACTTTTTACAGGGCATATAATTGGGTGGGGCTTACTGGATCAGGTTATGCCTGATGGTCGCACAACTGCCCCCTCCCCCTTTGAAAATTGTTCTGCCGCTGCTAATGAGTCAAGTACATGTGATGCACGTACATATGTTAAAATGAAGTCTTACCTCGTCCACCCTCTTCAGAGAGACAACTGAATCTACCAAGAAAAGTAGAAGGCAGATGTTGAGCACAGATTGGCCCTATTTCAAGTTTTAAAATTTGTTTTGGGAGGTTACTTTTAATAAGAGTACAATAAATATATTTCAGTCAGTGGCCTCGAAATAAAAAACCCTGAGCGATACTTCTGTAAGTTTTCGTTGTCATAATGTCTACTGCATGATTGAGACACAGACCCAGTCAAACAGAACTTCCACGTTTTGTTTCAAATAAATTTTTAGTATAGATGTAGCTGCTTGTGGCTCTGAGAAATCCCGAGGCCAGAGGTTTTCCTGGCTTCTTCACTACTCTGTATTACCTCTTGTCCATGTCAGTTTCGTGGGATCGGCCTTTAGCGGAAGACCAGCTCCTTTTTTCCTCTCTCTCATCAGGCTTGATCGATCGTCAGTGGAGTGGTCATAATATCGGTCATCGGAAACTATAGGGAACAGAATACATGCACAGTATCCCATACACACAGGTGGTAAACGATCGACCAATCTGGTAGAAAGATTTATCTCAAATACATGCAGTTATCGGGATTATTGTGGGAGATTATTTTATATGGGTTGTGAGGTTATGCCAGATTCCAATTTATTTTTGGTTGGGAATCCAAGAAATCCACAATACAGTAAATGGCATTGGCTTATGGGACGCATTGAATGAATGCGCCTTTTGTGGATGCCACTTTTGTCGAAATTGACGCCGGTGGCCGTTTCCTTGCCAACCAGACTGTTTTGGGGGGGTTGACCTCTTGCATGGTCTATGCAACAAAATAAAATGGCATACAGTGTACAGCCGTCTGAATGCGTAGGTGCAATAAAGATTTTCTAAAAGTGTTCCCAACAATTATTACACAACCAGCATACAACCGAAGGGTTCCTGGTTTTCTGGAACTTATACCGGATGAGTTGACGGAACTTTTTTCATGTATTTTTTCTAATACATATGTAATACATATTTTCCGGCCTATGCAGTCAAAAAAACTGCTATCGTCACTTAGTGAAGTCGGTTCCTTATTATCGCAATGTAGAAAGTTTTTATCGGACAGCACTGCAGCTTTTAGGAATGAATTACACCTCAAATGCTTCTGGTTTTAATAATGCCGTTTTGTTATCGTTTTATTCATACTACACTTTTGATGGGGCAATTTGATGTTTTGAACAAGCAATTACACATGCAAAACCGAAACGTAGTTCCACAAGCCGTATAATACACCACGCAGAATTTTACGCCACGGCCCAATTGTAGTTCGTTAATGTGAATGGGGGCTTGTTTGGAGACGTCTGGGAAGTCGTCATGAGTTGTACTACGGGGGGTCAACGTGTATTGGCATGGACAGATTAACAGTGGAACCATCTCTTTTTTGATGTTGTGGTGGCTCTGAAAAGAGCCGGTTGGTTTGATGCCGTTCGAGTACACTGTTTATTTGGAGGTAGTGTACTTGGTGACAGCCTTGGTGCCTTCGCTGACGGCGTGCTTGGCCAGCTCACCGGGCAGGAGGAGACGGACCGCGGTCTGCACCTCACGGCTGGTGATGGTGGACTTCTTGTTGTAGTGAGCCAAGCGGGAAGCCTCGGCGGCGATGCGCTCAAAGATGTCGTTGACGAAGCTGTTCATGATGCTCATGGCACGGCTGGAGATGCCGGTGTCGGGGTGCACCTGCTTCATCACCTTGTAGATGTAGATGCCATAGCTCTCCTTTCTCTTGCGCTTCTTCTTCTTGTCGGTGCGGGGAGCACCCTTGGCCTTACCAGCCTTCTTCTGTCCCTTTCCGCTTGGCTTGGGTGGCATGGTCGGTTGATTCGCTTCTCGTTCTGGGAAAAATACCACTATGATAAATCCCTCCCAATTTATGCTTTCGCGTATGCAAATTCAGATCCTTTCCTGGATCCAACTAAGCGCGCCTGAATTTCCCGCGAATGAATGGTACGTGCCAATTGGCTACTTGTTGCACACGGCACTAAAATTTTGACCCGCGAGTGGCAATGCGGACGTTGTATAAATTTTAATTTCCTAGCCGCTCGGGTGGGAAACGAGTAAGCAATTTCATTGGTGAATTGGAATCCGGGGCTAGGGTATAAAGTGCAAAACGAACGCAAAGTTGGTTTTATTGTAAACATTTCCTTCACCCTAAGTTACTAGTTAAAAGAACGCAATCATGTCTGGACGTGGAAAGGGAGGAAAACAACGTGCTAAGGCCAAGAGCCGATCCGCGAGAGCTGGTCTGCAGTTCCCCGTGGGCCGTGTTCACCGTTTCCTTCGCAAAGGCAACTATGCCGAGCGTGTGGGTGCCGGTGCTCCGGTCTACTTGGCCGCCGTCATGGAGTACCTGGCCGCTGAGATCCTGGAGTTGGCTGGGAATGCCGCCCGTGACAACAAAAAGACAAGAATCAACCCCCGTCACTTGCAGCTGGCCATCCGCAACGACGAGGAGCTGAACAAGCTTCTCAGCGGTGTCACCATCGCCCAGGGTGGTGTACTGCCTAACATCCAGGCCGTTCTGCTGCCCAAGAAGACCTCGTCCAAAGCGGCCAAATAAACACTGAAACATCAGTGTTAAAACCAACCGGCTCTTTTCAGAGCCACCACAAATTGGAAGAGATATATTCCATTGTCTGTTTATTTTACGTTTTTTAAGTTGTAGACGATAAAGTGGGGAGTACTGATTTAAAGAAGAAAAATATCTACTCTCTGTAATGTTCGGTAAATTATCCACGGATTTTAATTTACCTGGATTTCTCAAACTTTAAGTTAAGATTTTAGTTATCTTCAATAAAGTTTATGTCCTAAGATTTCCTCAATTTTCAGCATTCCGTAATAAGATTACATTTACATGTTACTGTAAGGTCCGTTGCCACAATATTTGGAGTACCCTACAACGTCATGAAAAACACGTCGGAATAACGATGGATCAGTGGGAAAAACTATGGGCCTACATCTCAGGACGACGTTTTAACAATACCAGAAAACGAAGGTTGGCCCGACGTTTGTATCATGGAGGTGTCCTTCCTCTTCCCTCCATGTTTGTATCAAGTACTTTGGGCCAACATTGAAACATGCTTGGTCTATACCTCAACATACATGTATATACATTTGTAGGCCCGGCTATTATGCCGATGAAGTCTTATGTGAAATGTCGCTGCATGATGAATCATGATTAATAATGTAACAATTACATGATCTGTGTTTTAAGCGTAATAAGGCTCTTATCTCTGAAAAAAACCCAACCTCTTTAAGGCCTACATGTCAGATTGTGGTTTTTCTGTACACCGCTGCACATTCTCAAACACCAGAATGAATTTGACACCCTGAAGTCAAGTGCCATCGAAGTTCACCGCTCTCCATCGTTGTCGGCCTTGAAGTTGAAAGTTTTATTCGACACAAGGTTCTCACCATATATAACGAGGCTCTGCATGCTACATCCATCGATCCATAAAACGTCATGAGACGCTTTGTAAATTTATCATTCAACTAAGTTGCCTTTAAAAACCTTTTTGTCACGAGTTATTAATTTCAAACCATACAGCCATCAGCACTTAGACGTTGCAGAAAAAAATGAAATTATCAACTTCTTTCCGGCGAAAGAATTTGAGGGGTCCAGACTTTTCCATTTACTTCTGCCTTTCGAATCGCCCTGCCACATTTCGTCGTGTTGTGTTTTATGCATTTAAGGTTTCAATCAATTCTTCTTTTTTTTCGGTTACAATGTTCGTTTAATTCCGAATGATTTGGGTGCGCCCTTTCTGACATGCCGGCACGCCTAGGCATGCAGCATCCACGTCCTTCATTGCTCGAGGCACTCAAGCGCTTGGTCACCTGTTGTACGTTTTTTTCCGATTTGGTCGATAGTGCTGGATCGATTCTCATGCAGTGTGTAGCAGGGTCCAAGGTCTAACCAAAAGACTTCGCACGATATGATCACCTGTAAAGTGCTTAATGACATAGTCTGAGGTACCATAAATTGGACGGTTTGGTTGATATTCCAATTTTGATTAGCGCGAATGTCTTCTTTTATAATTTGTTATGTATGTAATTTACACGTTACCACCATCTAACTGAAATCAACAAAATCTATAAATCATAATAGCACCGTCGTCTTTCACTTATAAACCATGCATGTACCGTCTTTTGAGGGTCTGATAGAATAATATGGAATTGTCTGTCACTTCATATTTTGGTGAATTCATTGTTTTTTTCGTCGAATTATCTTTCAACTTGATGTGAGTATACACGGAGGGCGAGACAACTCGCATTGCGTTGTGAATATGATCTCCGCAAAAGTGCCGCGCGCGGTCGATGTGAATACGTCGCGCCGGCACGTCGTCGAAATTGCGTGCGAGGTGCGATGTCGGTGAAGATTACATTTGAATATTTTCCATTGACTTGAGACTGTCATAGCGTTAGTTTATCTTGTAACTTACGGGGGCCGACATGAGGGGTTGCAAACGCTAGATTTAGTCATAAATTAATGTGATCCTACACCTAGCCCTATACCTGTACATCTCTTTCTGTCAAATAATGAACAGCAACTCGTGGAATACGCGCTCTACGAAGTCGCTGCGTGATTCCCGCCATGCATGCGACATGTACCCATGCTCTAAGTTGTATTAAAACTGGTTTCTCAGAAATTCATGAAATCTACCTGTCACTTCAGCCAGACCTACAGCTGCGCAGGCCTGTTGGGCTGTTCAGGCTCTTTCGCATGCGAAGATAGGAAAGGTTTTCTCATTTCGCGACGCCAGTAATGTCATCATGCACGAGCACGAATCAAATATGCCTAAACAAAAACCGCGCCATGCTGTTACACCCGCCTTATTCTTGACCGCAAGGGTAACGCACGCGCCACTCTGTTGTTTTGACTACAAAAGAGAGACAGCTTCCAGACCAAGTATATTATTGGTTTTATACATACATGTATATATACAGCCAGCCGTCCCTGAAAATCATGATGAATAGTTCGGAAGGAGTTGTCCCTGGACATTAATTGCCTGTCTCCTTTTAATCCAATAAGCAAAAGGGGAACTAGTTGATAATTAAGTTAGTCGCGATTTAAATCCGTTTTTTTCCGTCGGGCAAAGTACACGAATTGTCGGCATTTCATCGTCAGGTCGTGAGCAAATTAATGTTCAGTGAAAGTATATATTCTCTTTACATTCCACAAACTGCGGTCCAGCTATAGCCCACACACGGTAGCTGAATCAGCGAACGTATACACTATACAGACTTGTAATTAACCTTTGGATTTGGTCTGCATGCGTGAAACTACTCATGTATTTTCCTTAATGGAAAACCGGACTTTCTGTGTACTGCTTTCGAAAAATCAGTCACCAGATATTATGTATACATTCTGTTTATCGAGTGCACTTTGTTCATGCATGGTCACTATGGAGAGTTGTACACATAAAGACATGCACCCAGCTGTGTCAACACTGTTTAAACGTTCACTGAAACATGCTGACATAAATTATGCGGAGCGTAGTCCCGTCTCATTTTATTCGGGTCCGATTCCGGGTGTACAGACGAAAATATACGTGCATGACTGTTTCGGGCCTATTTGTGATCCTGAATTGAATAATCGCCGGTAGCATGAAATTGATACACCGTGTATATGTTGTTACTCCTCAGTTGAAAGGTTTACCCTGAAAGGAACCACAGTGAGCCAGTTAGGTATTATTCCAACAGCGCATGCCAAAAATAAAATGCGCGTCCGAGGTCATTTGGACGCGCGTGCATATGCGAGATTGGGCTGCCCTATCAGCGTGGCCACCCCACGTGGACTCGACTTGCGTGCATGCTGTTGTTCCCGAATGACCTTGCATTTTATGAAATACCGACCTAGCTCATTCCAAATGAACATTGATCGAGAGAAAATTGCCAAACATCCTCACTCAATAAATTGAATTTGAAATTACTCATAAATCTGAAGCGTCCAAACCCATGTAACTTTGTTCACGTTTTAAAGAAATTGACTCTAGAGATTGCATTTAAGCATGTAGGCCTAAGCATGCATATTTTGTACATGTATATACACGTAGATGCGAAACAGAAAATGTTGATTCTAAAGTTTTCCAATGTTCAATAACTAATCACTATCAAAAGTCTAAGCGTGGTTAGAACCATTAGCAAGAAAGAGTGTGGAAAAGGGTTCAATTGTCATTATCCTTCGGTGATGCATAACAGAGAATCATGATTGTATACAGTCATGTATTGCGAAAGGCAACAACCTGCGGCCCAGCAGCTGGACTCAACTTGAACTCAACACTCTCTGATGGCCCCCTAGCCCTCCCACTCTGTGTCCAACCCCCTCGGACGACGTTTCTGTGGAAGTCAGAACGACTCTGAATCAATTTTGATTATCCCTTCCCGAGGTATACATGTGTACGTGCAGGTCCTATATTACGTATCCTATAGACCGGGCCCTTGCACTGGGTACACTGGGTGACCATGTCTTTCACGTGCGAAACCATTGAAAAACTACGGAAGTATATTGATGCCAATTCGAAAATCTATTTTATCTCTTTCACACAACATAGTTATCTCGTTTTAAACGAAATAGCAATGTCGTTTAAACGGGATACTATGTTGTTTAAACGAGTTATAACTATGCCGTTTAAACGAGATAAGTCGTTTAAACGAGATAATAAGTCGTTTAAACGAGATAATTTTTTTCCGCTTGGCAGCAATATGCTTCCGTAAAAAATGCTGAATGCAATCCATGTATAATTTCAAATTATTACGAAACTGTGTGATTTACGTGCAGCAAAATCTCAAGTGCAGTGAATTGAAGTTCATGCATCGCTTTCCAATCGGAATCAAGTTGTCATGGCAACCATGCCACAGTACGCTTTTTTCTCTACCATTTCTCCAAGTGGCTGGTGAGGTTGAAAGCCTTTGTCTGATCGTCGGTCGTGCGAGTTTGCGCATATGTGTACGCGCCACAGCCAGAAGTTGCTCCTTTTTAAACGTGATTGCAAATCAACAAAGCGCCACATTGAAGGATATAGGTTTGCTCATAGATAACGTCAAACGGACATATGCTAAAATTCTGCAGGCCTTATGTTTGAAAAGGGTTTGTGAACGTTTCATATAAAATATTATTTAAATTTTCATCCGATACTGTAAATGCCTGAGTTATAAAAGTGGAAAGAATATTTTAAAATGAAAAAAATACACGATATCATCAGCAACAAAACGGATTTTCATTGAGTTTTTATTCAGTATATTGAGGCTTATATCGCAAGTCCGTTTTACAGGAAACACTAAACGCGAGGTTTTGTTATTCAAGAATTTTGTTCAGGCTAATTTGATATTCATCCAGTGGGAATCTCACCTCAAAGCATCCTTATCTGCATGCGTTTCTATTTTCTACTTTTCCGCTTTGCCTTGTCCTCGTGTACAGTATGCATGTGTCATGAATAATTTTCGCTGTTGTCGAATTTTACCTCGACACAGGCTATTTAAAGTGGAATGCAGTTGAAATATGCTCAGTGAAAGGCCTGGTTTATCGCATTTTTAGTTTCAGCTTGGTGCTAACATAAATGCACGGTACAGTGACAGGCCTATTCCCTTAACTATAATATTAATTAATGAACAGCTTAACTGAAAGGGGTTTTTCTTACTCTGGTTTTCAGTTTGACGATTTTCCTCATAGGTCGACGTTTCAGTCAGCCTTCACAAACTCTTCAAAGACGAAGATAGCAATTTTCCCTTTGACAATATTCCCAGTGTGTGTACTGCGAAACGTAAGCTCTGATCATCTCTCCACAAGTGCGAGATAGGGACTGCTGTAACAGGAAGGTCCGTGTTGTTTGCATTGAACGTGCACGCACTCGACTCAAGCTGCGGGTTAGGACAAGGTGGACTGCAATTGAAATTCATTTGTACCGTACCGTTGTATCGATTTCCCCGGCGACGCAATCAACATGTGCGCATGTGCGCCAATTAGTGCCCTAATTAGACTTTATTAAACTTTTGTTGTAATTAATCATGTTTGCTCCCTGAGCTCGAGCGCACGCACGGCGCGGCGTTTATATGGGCTTTAGGGAGAACTAGGAGGACTTAGTATTCACGATTCTTGCACGCTACTGCCTTTACATGATTCGAATGAACATCTTTAGTCGTAAAATGATGTCCATGCACGCGAGATAAATAATTAACCAGTACTATCACCAGAGTACGAGAGTAAATTCAGTGATGAATTTTGTTGCTCCTGAATTAAATAATGCATGTAGGCCTACAAGTGTTCCTTTTTCACGTAAATGTGTTATGTTTTGTAAAGCTTTGATTTTCAACGATAGCATATTCCTCAAGGCATTTTTTAGCATCCCAAAATTCATAAACGACAGTCAAAACATTTGTATTGCTTTTTCAAATTCCAATTTGGCCTCATTTGGTCAATACCTGTAAGCGTCACACATTCTGCAATGTTCTTAGTAATAATTGTGACTCGGGTGAGTCGTTTACTCACTGCAGTGACTCTTGTCAATCAAGAAAAAATCGAATCGTGAACTCTATCTGATTGCAACTACTGAATCGGTGTGTATGGGGAGCGGGTGGCTTCAACGTCATCATACATCTTTGACTATCTTGGTCGTGGTGGTAACCGAGCCTGCACGTCAAAAGAATCGGAGATCCGGGAATCAGAGGGCGGGCTTGATTTTTTTCCGGGGCCGTTTTTAAGGGTGCACTGAAC